AACAAAAATTGTGAAGGGTATGAAATCCCCAATTCAATTGCTTGGTTCATGCTAATACAAACATAGGAATGGATGCCAAATTCCATTTTCATCCTTTTGTTGACCAATATTGTTTTATTCATTTTGGCCAACAATTATGTAGTCATTGTTCCAATTACGCATTCTTGACAAAGAAAATATTCACGTTTTACTCTGCGGTGAACTAGGAAAAGGTCCGGTGAAATAGGAAAAGGGGAAAGGAATGTAGAGGAAAATTTCATCAAATAAAAGACATTTCTACACCACCAAATAAAGTTTTGCCATGTACAATTGGATATTATCATTCAATCCAATTCGAGATCTAACACTCAAACAGGGGGAAATAGGGGGGGGGGGCTCCCAAAAGAACCATATGAACAAAATACATGAAAGAATTAAAATAAAATGGTTGCATATGAAAGAGATCAAAATTAGCTCGGGAAAGGTGGTTTTGGCGGAGATGAAATTGATGTTAGGATTTCAATTTTGTTGTAGAAGAAAAAAATGAGGGGGTAATGGTGGCGGCGGCGATGGCTCGGAGGGGAAGAGCAGAAATGGGAACTGTCAAAGGGATAAATAAAGAGAGAAAAAGAAAAATGAAGAGGTGGTAAAATAAGGAAAGAAGTCCATATCCTCCAATTTTGTTGGGAATAAAAAATGGGCTGTTATTTGGATTGATTCTATGCATGTGGGCCCATTCCTAATGAACCAAGTAGCTGCTAAAGGGTGTGCAACCCATAGAAGGAATTCATACCCTCTCATTCTCCTCAACCAGGCACCTCCTAAGTGATTTTTAAGCATGCAACTGGAGCATCGAAGTTGATTTAAATTAAAAACAAAGAACTTGGATATCTCGATCAAACAAAGCTCATGTAGGTGAACTGTCTAGCCTTACCCCCATAACAATGAATTTGCATGCCTACTAATGTGTAACAAATATGTGGCGGCTGATTTATTAAATTTTAGGAGTTAAACTTGAACACTAGCTCGAGAGAAACAATAAGCAGAACCTTTGTGAGATTAAGGTTTTAGAAAATTTCATCCAGGCTTTGTCCAAAAATTGAACGTAAGGCACCCCCGAGACTACAAAAATTGTAGTCTGATGCATGATGGAATTTGCATGGCTACATCTCAATCCCAATTTGATAAATAATATACAAATTATAAGTAGGAACATAGAACCTGGAGGTCACGCGTGGCGTGGAGAAACTAGTTCTTTCCCGTAAATCATCAGCCATAGAAAAGAGGCGTGCAATCATGAGCACCTACTCAAGAAAATTCGTTGAGCGAAAACCCTAACGGTCCCATTGGGTGTGCCACTTGACAAAGCATGGATTCGTGCCGACGTTTCCAGCTAATTGAACCGGTGGCTATGGTGGTATCGGAACCCTAAAACTTACAAAAGAGGGCCTCGGGGTCTCCTGAGGGTAGACACGCCGATACTTATGTCAGTAAGAGTAATTGTGATAGAGATATGAATTGTGGTGTGTAGAGCGTACCTTTGATGTGAGGGGTTGATCTTTATTTATAGATGTAGGTTATGAAACCTTTCTTGGACAACCTCTTGAAACAATGGTTCAATTTAAATCACCTCTTAAAGACTATTTCTAATGCAAAATAAATAATACTCCCTCCGTCCCATAATTATTGTCCAGTTTTACTAAAATGAAAGATTTTATTTTTTGTCAAACTTAACTATATTTTACCTTAAACAACCGGATATACCCCTACATAAGTAATTGTTTAACCACTAAGATTTTATGGATAATGTTTTTTACTAAGGACAAATGTGTAACTTGATCCATAAAAAGTCAAATTGAACAATAATTTTGGGACAAAATTTTTTAGGCAAAGTGGACAATAATTATGGGATGGAGGGAGTATTTATATAACCTTTTAATTTATATTTTAAAAATAATTTTTATACAATTTTTATTCATCACCACCGTACTACAATAAAATTCCAAGTACTTACGACAATGTAATCATTTTCAAAGTACGAAAATTTAGTAAGAGGATCTTCAAAGGACAAAAAATTTAATAAATGGGTTCAACTTCAACGACTCAAGATTAGAGTAAAGTTACAAAAATTTAGTTGGAAGTTTAACTTCAACAGCCCAAAGTTAGTGTATAGTTTCGATTCTTGTATTTATACTTGTAACTTAGCTTTTTTAAAAAATAAATGCATCATCACTAATATTTAGCTTAGAATATCCATATTACTTAAAATCACATTTTATGTTTGGGTTATTAAATGTAACAAATATGTCATATAACCATTACTTTGATTTTATCTATCAAGCATCTCAAAAGATAGATTATGAAGGACAATTACTTTCATTGACCTCAGGTCAATGACACAAGTGACCCTCAATGGTAGTATTGACAATATATATATATATATATATATATATATATATACCCTTTTGTGCAAAATGACACATTTTTTTTTCTTTCAAGGCCAATTTTCTTTAACAAATCGCTGGAAATATTATTTAGGAATAAGACATTTACTTATTTTTAAAAAAATAATTTTTAAGAAAATAATTTAAGAAAGACTAATATATTTATGGTTGAATTCCTTTATTTTCACAGAAGTTAATAGTTTTTTAAAAAATAATTTTTACAAAAAATAGGGGGAAATATCATTATCCCTGATAAATTGTTCAACGAACTGTTAATGAAAACATGTATTTTAAAAAAAAGATAATATCTACATAAAAAAAAAACTATTTTTAGTTGAAAAGGATATTTTTAGCTTTTCACAAATAATTTATCATCAATTTTGCCCTTAGAGGTTCACTTTTGCCGTTGGACGAGAGGTTTACGTTACCCGTTGGTCGACGGTCATAGAGGTAATTATCCTTACAGGAGATGTTGAAGTGGTATTAGTTTTTGGGACATATCTCAAGGGTTGTTTGTCCTTTCTTTAATTTTTTGTCCGAATTGTTAAATATGTGAAATGTCTGAGAATTATTACTTATATCAATGGCACTAGTCGGACACATAAAAAAAAATTATTGAGGTGCCTATGAGTACACAAGTTATATCTAGTAAGAAGTAAAGAAACTCGTATATAACAACATTGAGAATCCATTCAAATGATCCCTAGTATGCATTCAAGGATTAATGGCTATGAAAAACGAAACAGTATCACCAAAAATTAATCCTCTTTTTAATAATAAAACAATCTTTTTTTAATCTTCCCGTAACTGTTGTGTTTTTTTCTTTTTTGTTGTTACTATGACTTTTTTTGACTCTCAAGTATACGTTTTAGAAAAACAATTTTGCACGTGATTCCCACCCCTACAGTTGCAAAAAATTTTCCCTCTCTTTTAATGGTCAAGCGGGTCAAGCTTGAACCGGGTCGATGTTTGACAAGGCGTGTGCCTTGCACGTGCCACTACAGCCAGAAAATGACATAGCTACCCCCTCCAAAAGGCATGTGCGACTCAAGTTTCATTACTTTTTTAACGGGAACTAGAAGAAAAAGTGAAAAAAGACAAAAAAGCAATTTTTAATGGGGGGTAAATTGTTTTTGAACTTGTGGCGGTGAAAGAATATAGCAGACGAAGTTATGGAACTTTATTAATAAATTAGTGTATTATTTTGACTATTATTTTCTAGGATGTTTTTAAAAACAGTTTTTCCTCAACATATGTAAGAGCATAATAAATTATCATCGCCAAACATAGTTGCTGAATAATATTCTTGTTTCACCATTAGATATTATCATCTCAAATTTGATGAATAAAACATATAAAATTCAACATTAACGATCCTAACTCATAACTAAAATTTCACAAATTTAACCATCCAAATAATCAACTAATTTGCTCAAATAGAATTCTTTCTCAGGAGCGGAAATTTTGCATCAAGAAAGAAGCCACCAGTATTTTTTTAAAAAAAGAAAAAAATTTGCTTTTAAAGAGTTCGCTAAAAACTCGATTTTTTTCCACTGTATCAACATCACAAATTGCGGTAAAAACAAAGAGAATGCAAAAGAAAAGAGAAGATGAACTTCAATTGGAATTACGAGCTCCACCACCATGGATTTGTTTGTATTTGAATTTGCCAGGTAGATTTAAAGAAAAACTTATACTCCCTCTGTCCTAAAATTATTGTCCAGTTTGGATTTTCATTTCTAGTTCAAATTATACTAAAAGTGAAATCTCAAACTGATTAATAATTTTGGGACAGAGGGAGTATATGTATAATGATTCGAACATGGCTACTACAAAAACGAAAGTGTCGATTGCGAAACTCATCGACGTCGAATCTGAGATATTGGTAACAGGGAATCTGGCTGGCATCGAATCTTCATGGCTTCTGTGATGGGGTAGCGAGACAGAAGTGTTGGGAGTGGAAACTGGGGATAAGGGAGAAAAAACGGTGGTAATACAGTGAAGAGATAATGGGAAAAAAAATGTGGATTTAATAAGAAGGATTAATATAAAATGTATATAGATAATGATGTTTAGCCCTTATCCATAAATTCCTTAAATTTAGCCGGAGTTGGTTATGACTTTTTTGGTCATTTAACTCGTTTCCGGCATTGACTTTTGACAGGGTTATTGGTAATATTATAAAAACTTGAGGGGGACATTGTTAAGAGGCCAAAACACGGGGTGTAAAATGTGGGTGGCCAAAACACGGGCCTCCCAGTAAAATGTAGTTCCTCCAATTTTCTTATACTCTACCCTCGAAAACTTGATTCTATGATCTATTTTTCATCAATGTCTTTTATGGTGAAATATTATATTTTCATCAATGTCTTTTCAACACAACAAAACACAATTTATAATTGCAAAGTCCACCCTCGCGAATGCGGCGATCCGGTATCTAATTAGATAATTAATTTGAAATTGATAGAATAATAGTTTTAAGAAAAATTTCATTTGAAATATCGGAAATGACGTCATAATGTAACATCGAGTAATTTTTCCTTTTTTTCCTTTTTTATTTTTTTTGTTTGAAAAAGAAAAAAACAGCTGTGGTTTGTGAATCTTGGATGACTGTGGAATGACGGACTCCTCGAAAGTCCAAAACTTTTCCAACCCAACCGATATAAATATCCTGCTCCACCACTCTCCTCACTCTCTCCTCACAAATTTCTTTCATTTCGTGATTTCCTCTCTAAAAACAACAACAATTCTTGAAGAAGAATTTTGGATTTTGTTTTCTTCCTTCGAGCGATTCTGTAATTGTCCAGTTTCATTTCAATTGAAAAATTTTATCGAAGATGAGGACTGCAATGTTGAGATCTGTAGTCAAGAGGAGTTCTACTCTTTTTGATGCTCAGCCGTCTTCGTCTTACGTTGTGCGACGTGGGTTCTCATCGGAATCCGCACCGGAGAGGAAAGTTGCCATCTTGGGTGCCGCCGGAGGAATCGGCCAGCCTTTGGCTTTGCTTATGAAGCTTAACCCTCTCGTTTCTAAGCTCGCCCTTTACGATATCGCCGGAACCCCTGGTGTCGCCGCCGATGTCAGCCACATCAATACCAGATCTGAGGTCTGTTGATCAATGTTATATCAATCACTCGCTCCGTTCGATCTGGGGAATGTTAAGTTTAGCTTTTGGGATTTAATCGTAGTGTAGGGTTTATCTGTGATTTCAAATGTTTTTACTCTGTCCGTTGTTTTTGCTTATTTCAACAAGGTTTTGATCACTTTGAACTTACAGCAAGTTTTCTTTCTCTGTTTTTTTCTCTCTCACTTTCTCTATATGCGTCTCTTTCAAATGGAATAGATTAGACCAAATTCTAGGGTTTATTACCTTTCATTAACTGGTGATGGTTAAAGTCGGTTACTTTTTATAATTATATCGTTATATTAGGCGTTGATCTTATGATAGATTTAGGTAGCATTTCGTTTGTGATTTCTTGAATAGTTTGTAGTTATTATAATTTTGTAGCAGAGTCATAGTGATCAGCTTGAAGGTTTTATAATGGCACTGGTTTTTGTTTTCTGGGTGTTTTTTTTCCTCGGAAATAGGCCCAACCCGGCTAAATCACAATTGCTAGTCCGTGCTATACTGTAATCATACATGTTCTAGTTATCAAATAAGAAACTTTTTGGTAGTTTGGATTCGGAGTTTCGGAGTGTAGGTCGTACAGATGTGACATTGTCTGTTTTGGGTTCCGATTTGCCATAGTCTTGTCTTTTGGGTCCCCTTTAGTTTGGTTATATGTTTACCCATCTTCTATTTGTTTGCTCTCGTCTATTGAAAGCATATTGCTTCTTGTCTTTCACAGGTATCTGGATATGCAGGAGAAGAGCAGATTGGACAGGCACTTGAGGGAGCTGACATTGTCATCATCCCAGCTGGTGTCCCCAGGAAGCCTGGCATGACTCGTGATGATCTCTTCAACATTAACGCTGGCATTGTCAAATCTCTGTGCACTGCCATCTCAAAGTACTGCCCCCATGTAAGTATGGATGGGTTTCTATGGATTTTACTCTAAAGTGCTTGAAGGACTTCATTTTTCTAATCCTTTGGATTTCTGTGTATCAGGCACTTGTTAATATGATCAGTAATCCTGTGAATTCAACTGTCCCTATAGCCTCTGAAGTCTTCAAGAAGGCTGGGACTTATGATGAGAAGAAGCTCTTTGGTGTCACTACTCTGGATGTTGTTAGGGCCAAGACTTTCTATGCTGGAAAGGCCAAAGTCAATGTTGCGGGTATGCTGCTAGACCTCTATTCATAGTTGGATGAGTATGTTGAATTCGTGGACTTTAATGTAACTTGTTACTTTCTCCAGATGTTAATGTACCTGTTGTTGGAGGCCATGCTGGTATTACCATTCTCCCATTGTTCTCGCAGGTACTCCCAAGTGCATCCATGTGTTTTTTCATTTCTTTTCGTGGTTATTCTCATCTTGCTTACTGACCAGTACCTTACTTCTGATGTCGTTGTTATAGGCTACACCTAAAGCCAATCTACCTGATGACGAAATTAAGGCTCTAACAAAGCGAACTCAGGATGGTGGAACAGAAGTTGTTGAAGCTAAGGCTGGAAAGGGTTCAGCAACCCTCTCAATGGCGTAAGTTTTCTGTTTATAATTTCAAGCTGCTTTCTCCATCGTACTTATTATGTTCATACATGATTCTCTATCACATCATTCTCAAACAACAACTATGAGATGCTCATCTTTGCTGATCTTTCTTATCCATTTCCACATACCCTCTGTTTTCACATGATCTTTCCAAAACTCTATGGATCTTGATATAGAAACTCAGTTGACTTCAATTGAATGTCAATGTGTGTACACGATTGAAGGCTTTAAGAGTTGTCTCTAAGAATGACGACCGATGCATAAATTTTGCATTTGTGTCCAGCTTGCATTCTCAACTTTTGGCTTTTCATACCTTTTTTTGATTATCAATGCTTAAACGTCTTTATGGCAAGAACATGCTCCTTTTCGAAATGAAGTAGATGTAGTGCCTGGGATGCATTTTAATGAACAAGTGTATGATTTCTCCCAATACACCACATTAGTCCTTAGTTTGGTGTTTTGAGACTGCTTAGATTTTTATTGATATAGTAATTCTCCTCCAAAGTTGCAAATATGGGACAGTTGCATTATTGCTCCCTAATTGTTGGACAAAGGAATTGAAAGTCAATAAATACTTGCATCCCTCGTTTAGATAGTATGGTCTCATGTTTGACCAAACTCTTTACAGTTGTAATGATGTGTCATTTGAATCATTGTTGTCCCTTATTGTTAACAATGCCTAGTTCTCATTCCTTAATTGTTTTGTTTCTGCAGCTATGCGGGGGCAATATTTGCTGATGCCTGCTTGAAGGGACTTAATGGAGTGCCAGATGTTGTAGAGTGCTCATTTGTACAGTCTTCGGTCACGGAGTTACCTTTCTTTGCATCAAAGGCATGTACCCTGAATATTACTTATTTTCTTTGCTCTATTGTCCCCTTCATGTGCTGGCCCTTTTTTTTCCTTTAAACACTAAACCCTGAACCCACCCTTTCTGTTGTTAAATTGCATTGATTTGGGGTTTTCTTGATGCTTGTTTCATTGTATCTGCTGGGATGTTGTGAATCATTGAAGTTTTTGTTGGCTGGCATTATCATTGCCCCCATGAGGTAGAATATGATTGTTCTTTGCATTTTCAGGTGAAGCTTGGAAAGAATGGTGTTGAGGAAGTCCTTGGATTGGGTCCACTTTCTGACTTTGAGAAAGAAGGATTGGAGGCTTTGAAACCAGAGCTAAAGTCATCAATCGAGAAAGGAATCAAATTCGCGAATCAGAGTTAAAATGTGTTTTACGCCTGCTTTTTATTTGACAATTTTGCAATTTGCTAAAACAATGAATCTCTTTCCGGTACCCATATAAGGGTAAAAGATTGTTTTGGGGGAGAGATCAGAGTAGACCTAGTGTTCGATAAAATAATATGTTGCAAACTAGATGAGGCTGATTCGCTTCTAAATCACATTATGTATTGATACATTCGACTACTAGGCATACATTGTTTATTGCAAAGGCAATGCCAACTGACTTGTGTGTTCTGTTCCGACTGTTTCAAGGAAGAAATATCCTGATAATGTACTAATTCTTCCAAAGCAGCTCCTTTCCCTGAAGGTTATCATGGGGATACTTTGGAACCTCTATAAGATGCTTTGTTTTGCAGGTAGATGCTTAATGATAAGGTTTCTAAGGTCTCTTATGGACTATGCTTTTGGAATTTTAATGGTGGGGTCTGACGATAAGTTTTGGTTTTGGTTTTAGTTTTTTTTTTTACTTTAATTTTATGTGGAGTATTTTGAAATTCATTTTCTGAATCCACATCTCAATCGCCAATCACAGTCGTCTAGTGTGTAACTTCTGACTCCACACAAATTTTATGTTTCGGATTGATGTGTTTCTTTTTGTTTTCTTAACCATTTTACAGATAATAATATTTGTCCGGCTCATAGTACATTTTGACACTATTTTTGGGGAAAGAAAGTAGGGAATATATTTTAACCATGTACGTATTAGGCAAAGTGAAGTGAAAAAACAAGAAGTGAAAAGAAAAAAAATAAAAATAAAAAGTCACGCTACTGGCCAGAATGATTGTTGAATTTGATGTGGAAAAATACTTAGTGCTCATCTATTAACATGATTGTACAGTACTGTTTGATGTGTACTTAAAAATGAGAATACTAAAATTATATACTGACAAGTAAGTTAGTCATATTGAAACAGAATTTAGTCATTTTTAAGCTCATTACAGTCACACTCTAGCAGATGAATTCCCCAGCGGCCAAAAGTAAAACCCAAGCTCTGACACTTGATGGGATTAACTATAATCACACCTTTTTAAACTATTTCTCGTATACTAAGAATGAAAATCCAAACTAGATAATAATTTCAGAACGAAAAGAGAATTAGTTTTTCCGACCCAAAGTAATTATTTAGTTTAAATTTTTAATTTTAAAATAAACAAGATAATTATTTTGTTACAGAAAGTATTAAGAAAAGTTGTTCTTCTCGTAAGTGAATATCTATAACCGCTATCCATTTGCTCACCAAAATGACCTAACATTTTTCTCCTTTCGTCACGCTGAAGTATTATTTTAGATTAAGAGGAACATAAATAAAATGTATCTTGAAAATGTTTTTTTTTTAAAAATAAATGTATCTTGAAAATGTTTAAATACTACTAACACATTAGAAAACCAAATGTATTACCACTTTACCATCCAAACAAATTCTTTACTTTTACTTCTACTCTTAAAGATGAGGTGGCCTTTTCAACATCTGTTTAGCTTATCTCTTTCCTACCATTTTAATGGGAAATTGTTCTTTACTCACAGTCATTATCAGCACATTGATCTTTTTATTTTTCCAGCACTTTAATCTCAATGTACTTTTCCATAAATTTAACCCATAAACTATGGATTTATCTGGTCACATATGTTCGATCATCCATTTTGTTTCTTCATCTACAATTGATTAGTCCTGCTTGAAAAGCAACTCAAACCGCAACGTTTACATTCAAATCGAAAAAATGAATCTCACAAGAATAATTCAGGAGGCATTCTCAAAATTTTTTCTGACTAATTGTTCCATTTGAATTTTAGCTATGAATTTCCAAACTCTGATATTTTTCTAAATTTTTTTTTTTTTATTAATAATGGTTCCACTTAAGAACCATTAGGTGTTTTAAGTGGGAGAAACATATTCGATTTAGACTAGTTTTCATTCTGACTCAAATGTCTCCCTTTTGAAAGTTAAGGGCTTGTTTGGATGGCCTCCCATTTTGTCTCTTGCTTCATTTTACCTTTTAAACACAAAATCCAATACACTATCCAAATAATATTTTAACTTACTTTTTAAAAAATATTTCGAAAATTACTTTTACACAAATTTCATCCACTACCACCGGACCACCTTCACAACCGCCAGACCGCCCCATGTCGCAGCCGAACCGTCGTCGACCGGCGACCGGCCGGCCGGCAGTAGTCTGGCGCCGAAGGAGGGTGGTCCAGCGGTGGAGGTAGGTGATGGAGGTGGTCGTGGTGGTAAAAAAATTATATTATTTTAATTAAAAAACCATCCAAATAATTTTTTAAGTTTTTCTCTCAAAGTACATTTTAAATCACATCTCAAACTCAAACCAAAACCTAAACTAAGCTAAAGATCTTTAGAACTAAACCAAAAATAAACCATCATCCAAGCAAGCTCTAAAGATCTTTCATATCCTCTCGAGTAAACATTTAAATCTTTATGCATGGTTGGAAGCTGAAAGTCTGTGTAAAATGTTTTAGGACTCCTATGTTCTCCGTTTCTCCATCAATATTTCTCTACATCTGCAATCCATTTTTTCTTTTGAAGGTAAATGACCTTTGATAAAACATAAGCTATTGCTTGTTATTCCATCATAAGAAATTGAACTACCAGAACAATGTACATCTTTAAAAGTTTAAAGATGCTACAAGTATTATTACAACGAAGAAATGTATTGCAATTTTATTTGTTTGACACATACTCAAAATGTGAACTTTGGCAAGAAAAACAGTCGTATTTAATCCATCTATATATTGAACATTCACAATTAACCATTATTCTTTGCCATATCCAATATGAATAGTTTCTCTTTTTGTGGGAATTTTTTCCCAAATAAAATGAATTATTAGTAGTGGATGAAGAGATCATATATTAATCCGTTGGAAGGAGCAAGTAATAATTCTACATAAAAGAACACTGGACAGTTTCTTTTAGATAAAAATAATAGATAAATTTATAAAGAAATGGATTAAAAAAAAAACTCGTGATGTGCTCCGCATACACATATACTAAATACAAGAAAAATATGTGCACAAATACACCATTTAACTTATTTTATACCAATTTTGGCAGTAGGTTACGGGAGAATTCATACAATATATATATATATATATATATATATATATATATTATATAAAATTATATGTGTGTATATTTTCAAAAAATAAATTCACCCGATTCAACCTTATTTAAATACGGAAAAAATCTTTCTTACATACCTCATATGAAAATACTTCTGCGAGATCCGCTAAGAACCTTATCACCAGGTCAAGCTTGCTTTTTCTCTCTCTTATAACTGTTGTCATTCTAGCTTCCATGCATATTTTTAACAACTGGACTATTAAAAACATCTTTGGGGAGGCAATGGAATTTATGAATTATTAATGATAGAGTTTCTAAGAGCATTCACAATTATTTATACTATTAAAGATGTAATGCAATTACCATATCATCATTTTGTATTATTACACTTTGTTTTAGTTTTTTTTTCACATTGGATTTTTTAAAGTGTATGTGTAATAAGATTAAATAGGTCTTTTTTTTTTTAAAAAAAAAAGAAAAGATGACCCCAACGAGAATCAAACCCTCAACCTCCTGATAATAACCATCTCCAACCTAATTCCTTAATCACCCACCCAACCCTCCCACCCCCCATAAAGTTAAATAGGTCAACCTTTATTAAATACATTATAACTCACCAGACCAAATATTATATCGTGTAAGAAGTTTTATACTGTTTGATATTATTATACTCTATATCATAGTAAAAAATATAATTAGTTAGTAATTAACTTGTTATTTACCACCACTAAAGATACTCTAAAAGCAAGCTTAACGGGAGTAACTGGCATTGAGTTGCGGGTCAATTACTATTTATTTTCTCTCTTGCATTGGAGAGAATAGAGATAGAAATTAACGGGTCTTCTGTTTTTACCATTCTTTTATTCAGAAAAATAATTAAAAAGTGTGTTAACGACCTTTTACCTTATAAAAACAAAATTAGAAAATAAAATGGCTTTTTTTTTTCTACTCTTTAGTTTGGTAATTCCATTGCAAAGGAAAAAAGTAACAAAAGTGGGGTGATGTAAATGGTGAGTTGGCAAGTAATGGGATCACCTTCTCAACCATTTTGTGTAATACATTGCTATTGCTCCATGCATCTTTATAAATTAGGAAAATTTCTTGATTTTGGACCTGCCTGTAGCTAATTTGTAAATGTGTAGGATCTCTTTTTACTCTTTTATAAATATTAGTCTTTCCTTGTCACTTGTAAATCTTTGTTGTGATTAGATTATCCTTAGTAGGCAATTATTAAATAGTTTAGACTGTTAATGCAAATTCACAAAAGTAAACTACACATCTATCTATCTATCTATATATATAACTAAGGCAAAGTCGAGAGAAATGTCTTAGGTATATATACATACCACATAGAATTTATTCTTATGTGACATTTTTATACATTTCTTCATTTTAAAAAATCACAAATAATATTTACAAAATTGGAATGCAATATCGAATCTTAACAACTATCTTGTGGAATTTGAATAAGGGTGGATTTTGTTTGTTGCAAGCGTATTTCTCAGAATCTATTTGGTCACATAAAAATCATATCGAAATTATAATTGTGTCGTAGGATATAAACCTTAATCGACAACTGGTTGTTATAAAAATATGTATGTCATGGGGATAATCATGAGATGTATCTCAGAATGGCTACTCCTTGATGGTAGTGTGGGTCAAGATTAATATCAATGGGGCTGTGAAACAAAGTGGGAAGTAAGTGGCAGGTGGTGGTATAATCCAAGATCGTGGATGATATTGTTTGATGGCTTTTGCTGCCCAACTGAATCTGAACTATGGGTGCTTCTGATGGGTTAAAACTGGCAAGAAATTCTGGATATATATCCCAAAGTTCATGTGTAATTGGTTGTAAAGAAGCATATGTTAAATGAAGAGAGCCATGGCTTCTGGGACTTTAATCTTTGAGGTATAAATTTTGGCAGCTCTTAATCTTAGCGCGTGTAAAATAGGATTATTAATCCCCATCAAGAGTCAGATTTCTGTCCTTCATTTCATCCTAACTTGGAAGAGGCAGCTACTCTTGGATTGTTGAATATGTCTAAAAGATTTTTACTAAGTTAATTAGTAAATACATATGGTAAACTTGACTTAGTTATCCTCCCGTTTTGGATAAAATTCAAAATGTCAAGTCAAAATGAAAGAATAAATCCTGGTATTCTGTTCCTAAAAATCTTCCCACTATCACCAAAAATCTGATTAAACATGGGAGTTAGTTTCTGATTTTTTGGAACACCTACGGGCATAATTTCCTCTATAAATAGAGCTGAACTTTTCATTTGCAAAGTACCCCATTGAACTCTTTCTCTTCCTCTTATCTTACTTTACTTTCGTCTTTTTCTTTCGGCTCCTTAAGCCCACAAACAGAAGCCTTCCTTTTCTTAAAAAAAAAAAAAATTGTTCTCTTCGTTGGTTTATCAAACAGAGGAGTTAGCCATCAATTTTTTTTTTTGTTTTGTTGGCT